GTGGCCTAGTGATTAAAACCTGCACCTCGGATGCGGGAGGTTATAGGTCAGATCCCCGGACAAGTTATACCTAAGACTTGCAAAAATAGTACTAACAGCTGCCTTGCTTGGCGCTCATGTTAATGTTAGAAGTGGACGGCTTGGTGTCTAGATCATGTGACTAGGTGGGACATCACGCTACATGTCTGCGGCATGATGCCCTAGTGCTAGAAAATCACTATAAACTGCCACAGTAAGGACATCATAGCGATATGACCAAACAATTGTGAAAGATACGTTAGAAATCTCTCTCTCTCTCTCTCTCTCTCTCTCTCTCTCTCTCTCTCTCTCTCTCTCTCTCTCTGAACTACAGAACGGTTGAAATAATATTTTTAATATTTTTTTGTGTAGTTCTACTTTCAAATGTTGAAGCATATATTTTCTCTGTAGTTATATTATTACAAGCAGAAACATATTGTAATCTATATAGTTTAGTAATTTTATTAATATATATATTAGTTTGTTATTACAAGTAATTCAGAAGATTTTATTAAAAAAAAATGAATCCACATTTTTTGTGATTCAATGTATTACATCGCATTTCTATACTTTGTCTTAAAATCTTCGGAAAATTGTGGAATAAAAGAATATCGATCAATGAATCTCTCTCTCTCTCTCTCTCTCTCTCTCTCTCTCTCTCTCTCTCTCTATATATATATATATATATATATATATATATATATATATATATATATATATATATATATATATATATATATATATATATATATATATATATATATATATATATATATATATATTCTCTTCATGGTGGACTATATATGTTTCCGGAACAAGCCCCAGCTTTCTTGTTAACATGAGTAGAAATTCTATATCTGTTTGATATGATTGTAAAGTTACATCTTTCCTTTTTTCAAATGCCACTTGCTTCGGTGTAATGAATTTTTAAGATGTCATAGACACTGGAACAAAGGTACTACCTCACAACACAAAAATATTCAATGGATAAATTTCATACTGTCTTTCTTATTGAATTACTTTAACTTAAATTTGATGAAGAATGCTATATTTTGCATTAGCGGAAATTTCTTGTTTCTTCGCAGTTAACGAATAGTAGATGAGAAAGTTGATGTTGGTGTTTATAATTTTTAACGTAGCTTTAACAATCTTTCAGTCATATCGCTACAATGTCTGCAGTGTGGCAATTTTTAGTGATGTCTAGCACTTGGGCATCATGCCGCAGACATGTAGCATGATGTAAAACCCAGTCACATTATCCTGACACAATGCCGACCAGTCCTAATACTAACCTTTTAATGCTGAGCGTCAAGCGAGGAGCTGCTAGTACCATTTTTGTCAGTCTTTGATATGACTCGACCGGGGATCGAACCCATGACCTCCAGCATCCGATGCGGACGCTCTAATCACTAGGCCACCGGAGTGGTTAGATGAGAAAGTAATCTATTTTAATAAGAAAATAGCATTTGGTGCGCCTTTAATTCATACACATAAATGCACAAACGTGCTCGAGCGTACACATACATTACACCTATACAAAAATACAATAAAGAGCTTATACATTTTCATGAGCAGACTTTTAATTTCAAGATTTTGCATTCAAAGAGTTTATGTAGATACATTTTTAAGTAATGTATTTCAACAATTTACTTAAGATTTCTAAATATTGCTTCTTTATTATGTATTCTCTTATCGATAGCCTACAAATGAAAGCTTGTATATTTTCTGTTTACAAGAAAATGCTTGTCGCTTTTGTCTCTGTGAGAGAAAAGAGATCATTGCTGCTTTAGAATGGTACTATATCAGGATTTCGTCCATATTCATTATATCGAAGATACCTTCTTTTATTTCAACCAAAATTGCTCATGCATGTTTACATTACTATTCAACTAAATGCATGTCAAGATTTTAAAAAGCAGACTTGAAGAGCCATGCTTTACCATATAAAAAACCAACTGTCGATTTTATATTGTGTTTATACAAAACGATCATTTCCGTTAGTATATAAAGCTGTTTATTATCAACGTAATTACAATATTTATTTATTTATGCAGGTAATCAGTTATCATCCTCAATTAGACTAATAATTTCAAATAACCGAGGAACATACCTTAACAGAACTGTGATATTTGACTTTTATAATGTTGACATCAGACTGCGATGTACTCTTTATTTCAGACGATGAAAATAAATATACCCATACCGAAATATCCTCCAACGTTAGGCGAACTGACGTCTGGGCATACAGGCTAGTGCGAAATAAGCTGTTTTAATCATGTAGTTGTTCCTGAACATAATTATACGCCACAGCTGGATTTAAAAATCTAGAGTTTTTCTTCATCTTGAATGTTTGTTAGTGTTTGCTTGTTGCATGTTAACACGTGAACTGCTACATAATAATCATGAAATTGTAGTAAATTGGCTTACCTGGATCCACATCATAGCAACTAATGCGGTCTGATATGGACAGGATTCAAACCCGAGATCTTTGGATTGAGAGCTCTTCACTTTAAATACTGGATCACCGAGGTTCATTTCAACTATAAAATGTTATGTTGTAGTTTAGGGATGTGGGTGTGGGTGTTTTTGTTTCTGTAGGACTAACAATGATCTTTAGTGGTTGATCACGGTAGAGTTTGTACGTGAATATTTGCATACCTTTGTATTGATTGTATTTCAAAACAGAAATCACAATTCCATTTGCAGTATGGAGTAATGCACGGAACATGAAAACGTTACTCAATCAACGTTACTCTAATAACGTGTGTATCTACACATCAAATAGGTTACCCAATCTCAAGGGTTTTGCAGCGTTTTATCTATATTTGGACCAATCGATGTTTCGTAGAATGAAAAGATTTTACCATTGGAGGAGTTTCCGGTACTGAAAAGCCCCCATTTTCTCCAATCATCCGAAAAACTAGATCGATAGTTTAAGTTTTACAGGCGTAACACGCATTCGGTCTAAAGTTTAAATATATACTCAAAGTAAATAGGAGCCATTTGCAAATGGTTAAATGTGTTTGCAACTCATATAAAGCTATTCAGATATCAATTTTGAATAGAAATAATAACATCTAAGTTGTGTTAGACTATGAGAAACTACTGGTTATTAAGAGGAAAGAAGTCTGCTCATTTCTTGTGAATTAACTTGTCGGTCACATTATCGTATATTGTCATTATTGCCTTCAGCAATAGGTTTGGTAGATACGATCAATAGATGGCCCCAGCCCAAAAGTTCATAGCGCGAATGGAACAATAAACGATTTACCTGTAAAGCTCGCGTTCTTCACAAACTGTCACAAATTGATTCAGCAAATTTATAACTGTCTGGTTTTAAAAGTTCATAGTATATAAATTGCCTCACTTGCAACAAATGTAAGTAACATACGACTTAAAAGGTCATTCGCTTAAGAGACAAACCTTGATAGATCTCTCTGGTTTTGGACTAGGGACAATGGCGTCCTTGACTATTAGACAGGGACACGCGTGACTTTTAAACAAGGACGTGCGTGATACCTATATGTTACACTAAATTCACAGAGTATAAAAAGGCAGAGCCCCTTGTGAATCTTTAAATTTATGAAGTCCAGACCAAGAGAGATAGTCTGTTTGTATTTTACAGGTAAGAATTTTCTGTTTTGTTACTCACCCTTAAAAGTTAAAGATTTCTGTAGTAACTAGTAGCTGAAATATTCTTGTGAGTTCTATTTTTAATTTACTATTATAATGTAGCGGAATATGGTATTATTTTTAAGATTTGATGTTCATTTGTATTTATATGAATTTACTACTAGCTTCATGCTAAAATTTACTTACAAATGAAAATATTCTTTAGTTAATAAAGTATAATGTTCAATGATCTTTTCCAGGTCGTTATTCTAAATTAAATGAAAGAAAATGCATTTCTTTATGGCATCAATCGCAACTATTGAATTTTAGGCTCTCTGAATACAAGCAATATTTAATCACTTGTATGGCTTTCTAAAATGCAGGAAACTTTACAAGCACATGAAGTTGTAGATCACATGAAAATTATTTAATATGTATTGTAATATGTATTGTATGTATTTTTCAATATGAAGGTTTTTATAAGTTGTATCTTTACAATGTAGTTTATATATCAATAAAAATTTGTGAAGTCCAGACCAAGAGAGATAGTCTGTTTGCATTTTACAGCGATATTCCCTACCTCTCGTTGCCAAAGCTTTCCCCACAAAAAGATGTAGCCGTATCTACACCATTATAAGTGACACCTTATCTTTGAGAGCGTCCGAACTCTCCCTTTTTCTTCTATCTTCCCGTCCGACTATGGAATAGAACATTGCTAATTGTTTTATGAAACAGATTATTCAGATTCTTCACAATTCGTAAAATTAGTTTCGTAAAAAAGCTACATTTAAAAAAATTCTGAATGATGTTTTCCACATAACGGATATAACTTACTTTACATTCATTATACCTTCTAATAAATATCTACAGACTAAGTGTATAGGTGGTTACAGATTTTATATTTAACAACCAGAGGTCCATTTTGTATGAAGAGGCTTGCTTTCATTTCGGATAGAGCGTAGCAGCGGCTGCATGACGTTAACGTGAAATTGAAAATAGCGTGTGCCTCTTTTGCAATTCCTCTTAGTACCGATCGCTGTCAAAGATCAACGACTGTCAAAGATCAACGACTGATCACAAGTCGTGACAAGTGTCTATGTCAAAACTATCTGAAAAGTCTGCATGTATGTATATTTCTATTACTGCTAAATAAATATTACATAAAATCATAAATATCTACGTTACAGAGCATATATAACTGTAATAAGTAGAAACATAGTCTTAGCAGTAAGGTAAGAGTTTCAATGCAGTGTAATTATTAGTTCAGAAAACAATGACCAGAGCCGTTGTTTGAACTGTCGCTGCTATAAAGAGGTAGTGTTTTCAGTCGGCGAGGCACAAACAAATGCTACAGTGATTAGGATCGCTCCGATGGTCTAGTGCTTAGAGCGCCCGCCTCGAATGCGTGTGGTCCTGGTTTCGAACCCCAGCCTAGTCACACCAAAGACGTAAAAATGTTACTATCAGCTGCCTTGCTCGCCGCTCAGCATTATGAGCCTAATGTTATGACTGGTCGATCTGTGGTCAGGATAATGTGACTGAGTGGGACATGATTAAGGTATATAATTGCATTCTTACTTTGCTGTGTCTCGTGTACTGCATGGCTCGAGCGTAGAAGACACACTCACATGATAAAAAATTCTCATTTATCTAAAGTCATTTCGGATTCTTATGAAAGAAATCAAGGTAATTAGGACTAATTAATTATATAGAATTTTAGGTTGGAATTATCTGTTACGAACGAGTGCATATAACACGATTCAGCGCCATTATTGTTTGGTTATGCGTGCTTAATCGTGAGGGAATATAGGCTGGTACGTGTAGGCAAGGCGAGGGGTGCCGTATCCCCGCGGACCTGGGTTCGAATCTCCGTAAAGTACCAATTCAAAATTATCTAACTGGTATGAAAGCATTATTTGTATTAAAATAATAATTCTGCCTATAATTATCAAGCATTCTTCTATAGAAACCAAGGATAGCACTTTCTGTTCTGTTTGATGTGTATATATATATATATATATATATATATATATATATATATATATATATATATATATATATATATATATATATATATATATATATGGACTTTTAATTACAGTAAAAGTTGCTTCTGTTATATCACTTTTGAATACAATGTGTAATTTCTGACTACAATAATTTTGTATATATTTCTACAGATATTATAATCGAAAATATTTAACGCGCTAAAGTCGATTTAAGACAGAAAGGCTGTACTATTTTAATAAGTGTACAAAGGAAACTTATCTTTCGAGTGGCTTTCACCAATACGATTATTATTCTCTTTTTATAATTGAAAAATAAAACTTTTACTTTCTTTAGCTAGTCAATTTAATCATCAAACCTACATAGCTTGAAGACAGATATTATTGGTGCTGGATACGAAATAGAATACCAACCCTTTTGTTATGCTAATTTGCATTTCTTATTTATCAAAGCTAACGAACTTATATATATATATATATATATATATATATATATATATATATATATATATATATATATATATATATATATATATATACTTACTGTATTGTTATATCACCATATGAAATACCGGTTATTATTAATATGACGTGTCAACGTAATGTTACATAGATAAGCGATTCAAATTCTAGGAAGATTGCGAGGGAGAAGAGACAAAAGTATCAGGAAATTAACAAATCAGGTAACGATCCATTTAATAAAATTAAGATTTATTGAAATTCGTTCATGATCACATACACATAATATTAATCACTAATACAGACTTGACGGACATACTTTCTCCATGTATTAATAGTCCAAATTTGTAATACAGACACTGTTACATAATATAATTACATCAGAATTTAAGGATCATGTGCTCACTCATGCAAAATACTATTATACTATATGTTGAATGATCTTGTATCTCGTCTCAAAATGAGGATGTCGTATATTATTATATGTTTTACTAGTATAGTGTAATCATTCTTATATACATGTTTCCCCTATTAAAAAACGAGATGTGGACAACACCTAAATTATAACAAAATTGGAGGGCACAAACATCTAATCCTAACAGAATGTTTTGCAAGATGACCGTGTCTCGTTCAAAGCAATTATTAACTGTGATATTACTACAATGTTTCTCATTAACATAATAATAAAATGGGGAAAAAAAAGACAGAAGCAGTACCCGCTTCAAGACGTTCTCTTGTCTAAATCTCAAACACTTCGACCGATTATATCGATTCGATTATGTTACTATGAAATAAAATCACAAGTTTTTACTTATTCGTAACCTACGATGGGATGATTGATTTAGAATCCATGCAATCGACCTTTTGATATTTTTTATATTCTTTAGCATTGATTTCTACAATGAAAGTAACACTTTATTTCTCCTGTGTAATGGTCAGCTTCTTCTCTTTTGGCGCTTCTATCATTGGCAAGGGAGCGGACGTCACAGTGAGTACACCATCACGTGATAGCGAGCATGTCAGGGTTTCATCGTCCACGCCATCTGGGACGACAAAAGAGCGAGAAAATTCCTGATACACGTGAGAGGTGTCAGATTTGTCCTCGTGTTTTGCATGTACCGTCACCTGTCCTTCCTTGACAGTGACATTCAACTCTTCCGGCTTGAACTGGCTGAGGTCCAACTGGACTTTCATTCGACGCGTGCCATCAGACTCTGTGACGATCGGGTCCCTAATTAGTTGTAACTGCTCCCTAAGGGCAAGGTCACTCGCGTGGTCTGACGGATCCATGGTTGGGGTCAATCTTAATGAAAAGAGAAAGACGTTTAACACCAAAAATAAAATAATAATGAGTCAGAGCGTTTCCTTCCTTTGCTAGATAACATTCCCTGTTTCCATTACAGTTCCATCTCCTACTTTAAATTCATGTACCTTCAAGAATTAAACCTTTATCAAATGCATGATACCAATATATATATATATATATATATATATATATATATATATATATATATATATATATATATATATATATATATATATATATATATAATTTGTGTGTGTGTGTGTGTGTGTGTGTGTGTGTGTGGTGTATGTGCAGGCGGAATATACATACTGTTGAAAGGAGAAGCTAAAAATACACAATCCCCGGCACAACCATAACAAAGGAAGTGTGCTAGAAACCACGTATCCATGATAGGTGTCAGAGACGGCGATCCTTTTTGTACATTTGAAGGAGAATAGAGAATCATCTTTAATGCTTGATAATGCCTTGTTAACATCTGACCTTCTTTTACTCCTATCATCAGAAATACGGGTTTAATCAAGACATTCGCTCTGGTTTTTAGTTTACTATGGTTTACATGAATTTTAAACTTCATTCATTAGCTTTTGGCGATATAAAAAAACAACAAACACAGAAAGTCTATCGATAACCAATCGTCTAAACATGTGTCAGCAGTGTAGAAGTTTGTAGTGATGACTAGCACTGGGACATAACACTCACTGAGTTAAACGATTCATCAGCTAAGAACTTATTTTATGCAACACCGAATGATCCATACGAACATAAAATCTTTGAACAAAATAGAGAAAGGAAAGAAACATGCAAGCCCTACCTATTCATGGCATTGCGCATGTGTCGGAAGTCCCTCATTATATGCTGTTGCAGACGGGACATCTCCCTATTCATGTCATCAAAGATGTTGTCGTACACCAGGAAGTCACCGAATGTTGGAATCAAGAATCTTGCCATCTTTTATATCTGCCCTATCGAAAAACGTAAACACAAAATGAAAATAAAAAAGAAACGTCAACACATATCCCATAGTTTTTTGCTTGCTTGCTTTCATTGGTTGGTTAGATTCATGGATATTCGAGAGACATGGCTATTTTTATACGGGAAAGACTATCATGTCTAGCTATCTGATCATAGAGAGAATAGTTAATGTAAATGGTGCATAGCGGAAAGCATTTTAAAAGGAATGGCAGCACAATAAACCTGTCTTTAAGACCCATCAACTGAAATAAATTCTTTGGAATCTTAATAATAATAATAATAATAATAATAATAATAATAATAATAATAATAATAATAATAATAATAATAATAATAATAATAATAATCTGTACTTATATCGGTTTTTACGTTTCCATGCTTGAATCAGAGTACAACATGGGAGATGTGAAATTGATAATTAATATGGACTTATCGGCCGAGAAGGAATAACCGTATCCGTCTTTCCCCATATGCTGTATGTATGCTATAATAGTGGAATGAGGTTCCGATGTGTGTGGGAAGTAAGATCGTTAACTGTAGTGTAGCACCTATGAAAGTAGTCTTAACTTGCAATGTCAAACTTTCTAGTCCTATGGTGTAATTTATTTTCGATGCTGAAAGCATTTTTACGGTGGCGATGATTTAATTTATTTCGAGGTTGAATAGTTGGCAAATCAGACGAACTTTACTCGTATACGGAATTTGTCATTTAATAAACATAATCCTAACTTAATATAACAAGTAATTCAGAAACAAATAAAAATTATTATCTAAATGCTGATAAGAAAGAGAGAACACTACAGTTAAATAAGGGCAATATCCGGAATGGAAAATTCCATAAAGCAGATTATTGCAGCTGAACATGACATCATTTTTCCATGAGTTGTTTGAGCAAAGATGAAATATTTAATAGTAATGTTATTGTCCATGAATAATAATGATGATATAATGGTCAATAAATAAATCATCGCTAGTAAGGCACGTCATTAAATAAAATAATTTATGTTTGTTTGGTCTGTTGGTATCAAAAAAATGTAAAATACAAAATGAAGAGAGGGACATTACGTGAAAATCTGTATTGTGTGTGAGAGAGTATATGTGTATGTGTGTGTGTGTGTGTGTGTGTGTGTGTGTGTGTGTGAGAGAGAGAGAGAGAGAGAGAGAAAATCTGCTTGATGAAACACTTAAGTTGAACATCACACTAACCCCCCTCTAAACAGAGTAGGGAACGGAAGGCAAAATATACGTTGAAATTTGTTGTGCGTGTGTGTGTGTGTGTGTGTGTGAGAGAGAGAGAGAGAGAGAGAGAGAGAGAGAGAGAGAGAGAGAGAGAGAGAGAGAGAGAGAGAGAGAGAGAGAGAGAGAGAGAGTAAAGCGCATTGATCTGATACCTTATAATGGAAAGTTTATACTTGCAATGTGAATTTCTCTAGCGTTACACCATGCTAATATTTCTTTTTGCAAGCACAATACAATAATTTCTTGATAATTCTTCAATGTACTAACCGTCTAATTTGTAGATGCAGGTAATTTCCTTTTGCCCCGCCCCCTCATCAGAATTTCACTCCTGGATCCGCCCCTCTGAGCCTATCCTAGTCTGAATTTAATTAGATTCCACTTACCTTTCAGCTTTATGATCGATACGTGTGATCCGGATATAGAAGGACCTGTCCAAAATCTTGTCGCTTATTTTTC